CCGTCAGGGTTGCGGTGGGGCTCTCTCTAGCTATCTCTAGCAGTGTATGGGCAAAAGATGGCATACACCTTGGACAGGTCACCACAGAGACATTGCAGGGCAACAAAGAAACACAAAACCATGCACAAACTCAGACCTAAGGATAATTTAGAGATGCTAATGAGCCTAAAACTCATGACTGTCAGAGGAAACTGGGGTACCACAGGGAGAACATGCAAACTCCATGCAGAAAAACACAGAACACAGAACCTTTCTGCTGCAAGACAAACAATTATCATGGTTACAATTTTCTATGTCTCTGGTTTTGTGATCTAGAATAGAATAGAATAGAATAGAATAGAATAGAATAGAATAGAATAGAATAGAATAGAATAGAATAGAATAGAAAAACCTTATGGTCTAACCTTTGTGGCCTAACTTTGATGACACAAAAAAAGTCCACAAAAGCCACAGATGCACCATGAACAAGTGATTTATGCCGGCAAAAGAAAAAATGTTCCAGGTAAACTCCTTCAGTTTTCTTAGTTTATTTCTTCTCAGCCAAGCAAATAGAAAAGGAAAAACATTTCCTCCATGCTTCTCTTGCGCCGGTAAAAAAAAAACAAAAACATACGCCCACCCAGATGCATGCTGGTCCTACCATTGACAGCCTATTTATAAACTTAATTCACCCAAATTAATCATAACTAACCAGAAACAAATGAAAAAAACTAAAAAAACCAAAAAACATGATCTCAAATAAACTTAGCTAGATTATCCACATAAATAAAAAACTTAGCTAAGTATAAAAAAAAAAAATGTAACTCCTACATTCACCATACACAACAATGGCAATTAGCATTTGGCTTGCTCCCTACATCAGTAGTTTTTTTGACTAAACTGTTTATATATTTAGAACTCATCATAACTTCTACTTTACTTCTATCTAAAAAGTTTCCTACAAACGTCTCCAGTTGGATTAAGATCAGTAATGTTTAACCGTCGGCATCGTTGAGTTGTGTTTAGAATGAATATACTATGCAGATGGTTTGCTGCGCTTTGAGAATTCATGTGCAAATGATCTTCGTAGGAATCTTGATCCCTTGGTCACTTTTTAATGTAATAAATACTCATGTGGGATAAAAAGATCTATTTCCTCTTCTTATTTTAAAGCTGTCCCTATTGGACATCATTTAAATCAAGTGGCCTTTAGCAGGTTTTTCATTTATACACACTGTCATTGCTTTCATGATGAAATCTGGAACAAAACTGGAAAAAGCAACGTGTCACAAACTGATTTAAAAAGAATTTTTCTCAACATGTTCCACTGGAATATTATCAAAGTTAAAGACTAAAAAATCAGACGTTTATCAAGTAATTATCAAGCATCTCTGTAGAGGTTAAAGTGCCAAACACGTCTAAGAGGCTCTTAAACAGATTTCTCTGCAAGATCAGTTGTACATAATAAAATTAGAGAAGAAAAAACAAAACCAAAAAAAATGTGCAAGTGGAAATAATCTGTTGACAAGTTTCCCAGGAGTCAACATCAATGCAAGTTCATTAAAAAAACAAACACAACACTTCACAAAGCTTGGAGAATGAGAAAAGCAAACAAACCGGAGCTGAAGCTCAGAGTCTGCAGCCCCTAGTGAGCTTCAATGCTAAAGGTCATGACAGCACAACGAGAAACAGATGAACTCATTGTTGTTAGTCTGCCTGGGAGCGAACCCCGAGAGATACGCCTCTTCAGTTTCACTTTAATTTGACAATAAATAAATGAAATAAACTGGAACGAAACACAAGATGTCCTGAAACTATCTGTTTACAGAGACAAAACCAAACTTTTTTTCTTTTTTTATTTGGCTGTAATGAAACGATTAATGTTTGATAAGAAACTAAACATCCTGCATGGGATTACCTCTAAAACACGGTGGTGGAGTGGTGCTGGTCTGAGCTACAAGCTTGGAGTAACTTACAACTTTTTAGTTAAAAATAGATACTAAACTAGAACATAGAGGTATTCCAGAGATACATGTGCTGCCCTAAAGAGGGAACCTAATGATGGCAAGATTGTCTCATTTCAACTCAACTATTAAACCTTAGCGTGGGTTTATTATGTTTTCTACGTTCGTATTGCTGTTATTATTTTTAGGACTCTGCGACTGACACATATTTCTAAGTTTTATGACGTTTGTTTAATGTTTCCTTTCTAAAGCTTTTTTTCAATTCCTTGGAGTCATTATTCATGTCATGGAAAGTAGCTCACAGCAAGTTTCTGGGTCGCAGAAAGAAGAAAGAGTGATGAACAAAGCGGAGGCAAACACACACTGCTGAGCTTGTAATTACAGAGAAATGAGTGGTTGGCTGTCAGGGTTGCTGACAGTTCCTGGTGAATTAGGATGTAGCTTTTCCAAGGGTTACATTTGAATATGAATGTCAAATAAACTATTCCCTTGTCTGTTCATAGAATAATGGGATTGGGTTATGATTTGGACTTTTTTTCTGAAGCTAATAAAACTGTAAACCCAGACAAGAAGTTGACAGAGTTAGTTAGAGGCTGGATGATGGTGAAGTTGGTAGCACTGTTCCCTTCCTGCAAGAAGGTCCTGGGTTTGAATCCTAACTTGGTGTCTCTCTTTCTGGATTTTGCATGTTCTCCCTGTGCATGCAATGGATACTCTATGGGTGTTCCATGTAGTGTGCAACAAATGCGACCAAAGCTGAGGCACCTTTCATTTAAATTCAATTCAGTTTATTTCTATAGTGCCAATTCACAACATGTCAT